ATTTTAATTTTATTACTCATTTCATTCATCTCTCTAAAAATTATATAGGAGTAGAGAAGACTTGTGAAGAAGATACCGCCAATGGAATAAATAGATATTATTTTGAAATTATATTTTGAGGAATATTTGTGGGCTCTTTTGCAAAATGGGTGATGAAATTTCCAAATAGTTGATCCATATAACCCAAATATTCCACATATTAATTGGCCCATAGAATTGCAAATGTATAATCTTGTCCAATATATCATTTTCCAAAACTATATATCTCTTATTCTATTAAAAGTTGTCATTTGATCAAATATGTCTAAAAATTTTTAAATCGAGTTCTTAGCGTAAAATGAAAATTTTGAAAGTACAAAGACCTATTATGAACGAAAGCGGAAAGTATAAGGGCCATAATATATTTAAACCAATAAGATAAAACAATAAATAAAATAGTTTTAGAAGCCACATTTCACCTCATTTGAACTAGAAAATCATGTCAATTAATATTAGGGTTGGCAGATAAGAACTATAATTTATAATTCATCTGTTGAAATTGTTTACATATTTAATCATTCTGATTTAGCATAATTCAGCGATAATCGGCATATACCTTCAATGAAGAGGCCGTGAGTTCGAATCTCCTCCTCCGTTGTACTTAAAAAAAAGATTTACCTCTTAAAATTTGTGTTCTTAAATTAATTATTTTGGCCATTTGTAAATGCTTATTGGACCCATGTCCAGCACCCAATATTGTATGCAGCCCATGCTTTGGGGGTTTATTGGACCCACTCGGAAATTACTCAATAACCATTGGGTTTATCTGTTTGATATATTTATTTTTTCAAAACTATTTTTAGATTATGTTATTCAAATAGTAGAAATTATGGGAAATAACATTTTTATGTTTTTTTATTTTGAATTTAAAACTTAGAGCAAAATTGAAATTAAAAAAAGATAAAAATTTTGATTAATATATTATTTCATGTCATAAAATTATTACTTTTTTTTGGTAAAAAAACTTATTAAATTTTTGTTATAATTAAAACGTGTAAAATATGGAAAACATAATATATATAATAAATTATATAAAATCTATAACATATATTTTAATAAATTAGTTAATAAAACATTGAACCGGATTTTTTTCAATCAATCTAAGAACCGAACCCAATTAGTTGGTTCTTGTATTTTTTAACCCAAATCATCCATCAAATCAATAAAAATCATCTCATTTTTGAAAGCGATGGATCCATCGTATTTTGATCTATCAATTTGAATAACATCATTTCTATAACTCGTCTTGAATTTTGAATGCAATTTGTTTAATCTAAAAAATATCAAGTTCGGATCCGTGAAGTTCAAACTAGTCACACCAAAGTACTCGAGACCTGCAAAACAGAGTTAGTACTGCAACGCCCTAGTCAGTATACAGTCCAATCTATATTCAAGAAATAATATATTTTGTGTACCTTATATGAGAGGGAGACACTCTATTTATAGAGGCGAGCTCTCGACAAAGCTTCCAACAACCTAGGACGAGCTGTCTTATTGGAAAACATGCATGTTGTCTATGTTCTCTCGATTACTCTTTAACCTCAGCTCGTACCTAACGTAGGTCAGCCGAAATGTAGAAAATGCGATAGCTCGAACACAAAACATCGAGCTGAAGGGGTTTGACTTTGTGGAATTCTTTTATAAAGAATCTTCCTCTTTTTGTCGATAATTTGTTCCCAACGTTTACACGTAGCAATGGATAAATAGCCTCCAACATAACTCATGTTACCTTAATTTCTATATAGTGGACAGAGAGAACTAATAAATTCGCTCTCAATCCAAGCAAGTAAAGGAATTTATATAACCCCCTGACTTATTAGAATACATGAACCAAAGTCGCAATGAATCCAAGCCGCATAAGAAATCAATGATTGAAGCTAGCAATTAGCTTCCTCAATCAAAAGATTCTATATTCCTAAAAATGATGAAACTAACTTATCAAATTTGATAATTTGCTAGCAATCCTTCAGGTATAGGGGCATGGAACGCAACTTCACCAAGGAATGGCTCCTTGCGTATGTACGGATATGACGACCGTGCGCATATCTCAGATATAGGAGCATAAAGGCCAAAGGATCACTGATTCCTGAATAATAGAAAAAAAAATGATAATTTGCTAGCAAGCCAACACCTCCATTTCTTCTATTCATCTATTCTAGTCTTGAAGAGGAGAGTGCTATTTTGGATGTGTGGTTAATAAAAGGACCATCCCCTAAATATAGCGTAAGATTCTCTTGTTTTCTTCTAATTTACGTAGCAGTGTAGATAGGTTTTTAGAATTAAAAAGATAGAGGTATCCGAACACCCGTCGTTTTGTTATTAGCTGCTGAGGGCGAAGAATATGGTGCCCTTGCTCAATTTTTCATGAACATACGGAACATATCAAGATCGATTGTCATTTTGTCTATGACAAAGTTGTCAACGGTTTTTTTAAGCTTATTCCTATTCTTTCTTTATTTTATTTTCTAACTTATCTTTCTAGAATGTTTCTCTTTCACTTTATCCTTTTTTTTTATTACCTAGGAGTCGGCAGTCATCGCACTGTCTCCATACCCGTACATATGCAAGAGGTCATTACTTGGTGGAGTTGCATTCCATGTGACTTGAACCCAAGACCTCAAAGATGTTTCTTGTGACTTTCCCTTTATCTATTCTAAAGTCTTTCTTTTTCTCTAATATTCTTTCTCTAACATATTATTTATCCCTCTCGAACTTTTCTTTATCTAAATTTTTTCTTTATCATACCAAATTTTATCTCTCTAAAAGCTCTCTCCATCTCTATCTTTTATTTCTATACTTGTACATACTTTTCTCTCTAACTTTTTAAAAGATAAAAAATCTCAAATAGTTACCAAACATATATTTGTTTATCAATTAAAAAAAATAAATAACATCTATCAAGCATAAAAGACCGTTGGATAACTATTTCATTTTTTGTTTTATGTTTTAAAAAAGTATGCATGTTTTTTTACAATTTCATTAGTAAGATTTTCACCCCTTGAAAGTATATTTGAAATCTTAGCCAAATTTCAAAAATAAAAAAAGAAGAAGAATTAGCCTAGATTTTGAAAATGTTTATTAAAATTATATATAACCAAATAAACGAACAAGTTTAATAAATAAAATTAGGCTTAAAAATTTTGAAAAAAAAATAGAGAAAAAAATTGATAAATGAGTCAAATGACATAAACATGAAAGTTAAAATTATATATCGAGTCCTTCATTAAAAAGATGCTAAATTAAAAAAAATACCTAACTTTTGTCAATTTATTTAAAAAATAGAGGTGCTTGAAACAATTTAGTCTTCTCCATATAAGAAATCGTGGTCGGGAAGGTTATAGTAGCAAAAGCCATTGGAATTTTTATTTTATACATAGATGTGTATAAGAGACAGATTTTAAGGTGACTAGAACAAAAAAAGAAATCGTGGTCGGGAAGGTTATAGTAGCAAAAGCCAGTGAAATTTGTTTCTTATCACAAGACTTGTGATATATATTATATATGATACACATACAAATGAACATCCTTGCACCAGTTCTTCCTCTCGAGTTGAGACCAATCATTCAAATAGATGGGGGATTGAGACTAGTGTATGGTAGGCCGGAGGTACGCTTGCTTATAAAAAATGCGGCTAATTTGATTCGATGGAGAGATAAACCTGTGGCTCTTTCCATTGTCCAAGCAAGATTAGTTGGATTAGCGTGGATATCGAGGTTCCACAAGCGGTACTCCCTGATACTGAGTTGTGGAATTTCAACTAGATTTGGAGGATGAAGGATGCTGATTTGAATGGGGAGCCAGCCGAAATCTTCCGCCGAGGATTGTCTCGCTCGGATTTCGATTTCCGCAACCTGAACCAGTTTTTGGATCAGGTCATCGCATTGTAGGTCGAAAGGTTTGAGTTTATTCGTGGGTTGTCACGACTATGGTTAGGGAAAGGTTGATCATACCCTTCTTTGAACCGTACGAGCACGATCTTCCAAAAAACGTTTCAAGAATACCTTTGAGAAACATCAATGAATATTTTTAACAAAAAATTGACGTGGCAGAATCTTAAAATGACGTGACAATTAACGTAAAACTTGTCTAATTAAGTCCAAAAAAAAAGAGAAAAGGTAGAGTAAGTTATCATTTTAGCTCAAAAATCGAGTAAACAATAGAGGTTGAGAATGAAATGAATAACAAGACAAATTGCAACCTCATTTTAGATTTTGCCACCGGCAATTTTTCATTGAAGATAACCCCATTTTTTTTAGGGTAATGTAGCCATAAAGCAAGGGATTATTTGAAAGATACAAATCAAAATGAATTCAGAAATTTATGCTTACGAGAAGAGAGCAAAAACCCTGTGTTTCTCACATGGCCGCAATTTCAAAAAACCCTTACCCTCTTTCTCTCTCACCATTTTCATCATCCCCACAGCGCCATCTCCAACACCCGCAAAACCCACTCTTCTTCTCCAACTTTCCCGCCCTCTGTTTCTCTCTCTAACTCTCTCTCTCTCTCTTTCCTCTTCAGAGACTCCAAAAACAGCGAAGGGTTTTTGCTGACTGAAATGCCCGCAAGAAGGGATGCACAAACTGTTGCGATTGAGCC